AATTTTAATATATTTTTTCCAATAATGGACTGAATTGTTTGATTTAGAAAAAAAGAAGTCTTTCTTCGGATTTTCTGAGTTTTCTAAAAAGTCGAAAATCGAAACAATTCGAAGACAACGTTCGTACTATATTTTAGACCGTACGTTCTATTTGAAAAAGATATCACCGATTTGTGGGGAAAAAAATATCACCGATTTGTGGCAACCCGTTCTTGAGAGGTAACAGTTGCTGCCTTGCTCTGGGGCAGAACACACACACACACACACACACTCGCTCTCGAAGTCCGACGAAACAGTCTGGCACAGTCATACCACACACACACACACATCCAACACACACACACACAGACACACACACGCACGCACACACACACACACTCTCAAAGTCCGACGAAACAGTCTGGCACAGTCATATCTCTCTCTCACACACACACACACACACACACACACACACACATAAATACACACTCGCTCACAGTCCGACGAAACAGTCTGGCACAGTTTAGGCTGTATAGCGAATATGACAACACACTCAACCTCCCGATGAGTTGGTGAAAATCGGACGAAACAGTGTCTGGTCGAGTCATGCTTATTTTTTTGCGGAGATGTGTACAGCGAACATGACAACACGCAACACACACACAACGCTATGGTGGACTGTGCTCTACTGCGTGCTGTGACGGACATCACACACACAAACACGCCCACCCAGAGCACGACTTAGCACACACACACCCACGCACCCGAACACACCGTGTGTCGTCGCTAAGCTATTTTACGTGCGGGAGGTTGGGCTGTGGATCGTCAAGGTTGGACACTGATTGGGCTCTGCGTCGTGACGGTTGGAGGCTTTCAGACGACCGTGCCACCATAACCGAAGGTGAGTGAACCCGCCGTTTTTGTTTCGTTTCCATCGATTTTCTGCTTCTTTGGTTTCTATGCTCTCTCTCTCGATCGTCCGATCGATCAACATGGCAAGTCTGGCACACAGCGACAGAGAGAGAGGGGGCATTTAGAGAGAGAGAGAGAGAGAGAGAGAGAGAGAGGGCATTTAGAGAGAGAGAGAGAGGGGGGCATTTAGAGAGAGAGAGAGGCGCTACACTATGGTACTCTACTTGGTTCAGAGGTGTCATCCACTCGATCGATCGTCGTGGCATGGGAAAAAGGAAAAGCAGATCGTCTCTCTCTCTCGCGATCGTCCGATCGATCGAGGTGGCATGTCTTGCAGCACGAACTACGACGTCGATCGATCGATCCATCGACTGGGTGGGATAGGGGAGAGAGAGACACAGAGAGAGAGAGAGAGAGAGAGAGAGAGAGAGAGAGAGAGAGAGAGAGAGAGAGAGAGAGAGAGAGAGAGAGAGAGAGAGA